GAGATCCTGGTCTGCTTTATTCCTCTTAGATAAAGGGCAAAGAAAGGATTAAACGTAAAACACAACTTCATTTTTCTGAAGTACTGTGCTCGTGCTAGTATTCATTTCAGAGTATTTAAGAACGGCACCTTCTGGGTTTTCTTAGGGATCATTTGGATTTGAGCCTTTGGTATGATGACCACCAAGTCATCTCCATTCCACCTTCACTCGCCAAGCTCTTTTTCTGCTCTTCTTTTAACAAGCTTTCTCACTTAAGTAGCTCCTCTCCTAGAAGTTAAGCACACCACAAATAGATTTTTCTAGCACTCATTTTTCCTGTGGTAATGTTGAACTCGCGTGAACAGTGACGAGGGATAGTTCCTTCAGCAGAGAGGTGTAAGTAGATTCCGTGTATTGTTGAAAATGAGGAGTGCCCCATTGCACCCCTGTGACTGGATGCTTCATAAACCAACTCTGTAGCATCATGGTTAGTGAGAGACTTGAGCGCTGTATGGTACCTGAGCTAGAGCTGAAAATACTGCAGTTTTGACCCAGCAGGTTCTCTTTAGTGGATCAGCCCTTGTTTAGGCTGAGTTGTTTCTGTCACAAGCACAAAGTTTAGACCTTTCGGATAGGGGCCACTCCATTGGTGTGATCTACTGTTGGTCTGCTGCTAAGTTTTGCATTCTGTGTGGGGAAGGTTTTTAGTCTTTCCACTGAATTTGCTGTACATCATCTGTGTCCATGTTTCCTTACACAGGGACATTCCAGTTCCCTTGAGTTGCTTGGATTTCTAGAGTTTGAGAAGCAGCAAATGTTTGGTTTCTCATCTTTACCTGGTTAGGGTGCCTTTGTTATTTTGTGGCTTAGGACACGGCTGACAAGGACACTTACTATGTACAAATTCCATGGGTTAGCGTCTAGTAAACCGTTATTGAGTATATGCTTCTCAATGCTTGTAAACCTCACTGTCACTTTTTAGCTTAGAGTAAGGCATAATCTTTGTCTTTAATATTAAACAAACAAAAAGTCCCAGGCCAGGTACCAGACAGTGTAGTGGCAGTCGCCGTCCACATCCTTTGTGCCTTACAAGCTGTGCATGTGTGTCCCCGCTGTTCTCTGCAGCGGCTGGAGGTGAGTCAGCAGCGTTTGCAGTGAGAAACCAAGAATGTAGGGACTTGAGTGTTGTGGTATCTTAAGCTCTTGTTTTGAGTTTAATTTAAGTGCCTTTTTTTTCTTGATAATACACAAACATAATCAAACCCAGTGTCTGTTCATTGTGATATTTCTTCCACCAACCAGCAGCAGATGCCTGGGGAAGCATATAAATCTAGGGCAAGCATGTCGTTCTCCAGAACATTCCCTTATCCTTCCACACTTTACACGTGTGGGATTTCCTGCTCCGATGGCAGCGTGATCTGACGGTAACATAATGAGGTGACAGCCACAGTCAACTGAAAGGCTGGAACTTAACCACTTCAACTACAATATCTGTCTTTTTGAATCTGCATAACACTGCTTTTTCCCTAATGCGATGTAAGCGTGTCCGGATTGTGTATGCAACGAGTTGTCATTACTGCAGTAATCCTTCCTACTGAAGTGTGATCTCAAACTTGTATTTTGTCTTGAATGGTCTCTGAGCTTCTCACCTCCTTGTGGAATCTTCCAGATAGGTAAAGCTGCACTTCAATATCAAATATGTGTTCTGATGGCTTTATTTTTGTGTAGAATTATTTTTTTTATTCGAGAGGCTGCAGATATGCTGTTCTTTTGCTTTTGTGTTGCCCAAGTTCTTAAAATTACTGATCAGTCTTGAACTTTGGATTATGGCTTCAATGTGGAGGGCCAAGGTATATGCATAGTATTATTCCATCTCGTTCAAATACCAGTCTAGATTTTTGTGTTATAAGTAAAATTGGGCCTGTATTAAATTGGAAACCTGTTTCTCCCACAACTTTGTAGGTAGGCTGATAATTTTTTTCTCTGTGGGTGAGAAACTTGTTTATGGATGGGATTCTAATGTGTGGTTGTGTATTTAATTAGTAACAGAATTAAGATTTTGAGGAGAAGAGCTTTCAGTTCTTTTCATCAGTGTGTTAAGAGAGACGGTGTGCCTAGTGTGAAGAGTTGGTGAAGCCTGAAGGTTTTATGGTTCAGAATGAATGAAGAAAACCTCAGGTGCTTTCCCTTACCCCCACTGTTTCATCCTTGGTGGCTGTCACTGAGCGAAAAGGTCTGATTGGTTTGTTAACAGCTCGGAGCTGTAAAAGTCTTGGTGTGGCAAGGCCCATTCTTTGGTCGTAGTTCTGAGCAGTTGACTGTGTTCTTCTGGCCCCGTTGTTTCCGTGCTTCTGTAGTCCTGCAGGATAGTTCCTGACCTTGCAGGAGACTGAAGAGATGCGACAGGGCTGACGTGTATGGACTGGCTCCTAGGTGTGCTGCTGTGAACTGATCTCCAGCATGCAGAGATCTGTACCTCTGTTTCAGGGGCTTGTAGATGTTTAGCAGTGCATAAAATCCTGCAGAAGCTAAGCAATTGATTACATTCACAATGATACATTTGAATGGTCTGAGAATCAGGTAGAGTAAGTCTTGTGTGTAGTTTTTTTCCTCTAAATTTCCATGTCAGGCAAATCTGCTGCTAGGAGAGGCTGTGAAGGAAACCTGTAGTACAGTTGATAAAGCTTGCCTGTCTTTTCCCCAGTTGTTGCAATTCCCTGAGACAGGCCGGAAGATCTTGGAAACTTTTACCGTGTGTGTTTCTCAGCCTCCATACTTCAGGAGTAATTATTACATGTATATCATTGTTACAGGAGATAGATATGGGTAGTTGGGTTGGATTTTTTTTTTTTACTTCATCAGGAGGCAGGTTTTCTACAGAAGTATTGTAATATGTCCTGTAGTACGGCTGAAGTGCTTTGTCATTAATCCCGTTAATCTGAATTTCTACATCTAATGGTTGGAGGGAGGGCTGTGCATTCACAGATACACGTTAATTTCTTAAACCGCAGACGTAGTGAAGTTCCCGATGTTCCTCTTTAACTGAGGACAGTTAACTATTAAGTGTAAAGACAAGCCCTGCAGCTCTTGCTGGAGCTTGGCAAAGGTACCCAAGTTGCAGAGGCTGCAAGTCTTAATTCCTGTTTGTCAGCTTGGTTCACAAAAATTAAGTCAGGCTTGTTATCTTGGGTGTAGCTCTGCTGTTTTAAGCCGTCTCCTATTTTGAAATTTCTTAACTTGCGTAATTGAAAGTATTTACAGCTTCGAAGTAAATTCTTTCTGCAGGTCATCCTTCAGGAACTAAGTCATAGTGCTTCCATTATTGAAGTAGCATGTAACTATATCATACTGCCTTTAGTTCAGCTTAAATTACAAGATTCCGTGCTTATGTTAATATTAGCAATGTATATGGAGTGGTTTAGGGCAATTCTCAGCAAAACCAGTTCGTTTTGCAATAGTCAAGCCGTGTTTAGTAAAAGGTTTATCAAATACTAGGTGGATTTTTTATTTAAATTTTATTACTTTCTGTGGTTCAGAGAAACAAAATCTGCTGGTGGAGTTACGGATTTGGGTTTTTTTCCCCAGCTCTAGTAAGAATAGAGCCACTGAAATTTTGTCCTGTCCATGTGGAGACTGTTAACGTTGTTCCTCCTGGGGAAAGAGATGGAGCTGCAGTCTCTGTTGCTGAGGTGATTTCTGCCTGTTAAGACTGTGAGTTCTGGCACCTGAGGAAAAAATGAGAGTTGAGCTTCATTATTTTTCCATTGCTTTTGCTGCCGTGACACAGCAGAATGTAAGGAGGTAGAAGGCTGGGGGAGGGCTGGTGAGTGGGCGAGATGAAGAGGCCATAGAGGAGTAAAGCCCTGTGCTGGGGGCAGGCAGCGAGTCACAGCGCTGTGCCTTTGGCAGCGGCTGAGCGTGGCGTTGTGGTGTCCCTCTGCCTGGCAGGGGGCTCTGAAACAGTTGTCCTGTGGAGGGGATGGGAGAGTGGGGGCTTGGTCTCATTTGGCAATGGGGATGGTTTCTGTCTGTGGGATTCCCACCAGTTCGGGAAGCCAGAAGATAAATGATGAATGAACTGAGCAGAGCAAAACCTGGGATTCTCAGATGTCTCATACTAGGCTCTAAATTAGTGTATATTTAACATTTTTGACTTTAATTTTTCTGATATGTCATGAGCAATCATCATGTGGTTAGGCAATGAAAGGATTATAACCTTGCCTAAGTAGTTGGAGATTTTGCTTCCACCTGAATATTGGGAAGCTGTATTTAGTAATAATTGTTTCACCCTCAGATTTAGAAGTCTTTTTCAAAAGGTTTAAACTATAAATACCAGTTAATTTATTTTTTGTGTGTTGCTTCTCAGTGCAAATAGCTGCTTGGCATGGGTATGTGTGGTTGCCCTGAGTACGCACAGGATGACATTTTTGTTCCTTCTCCAAGCGTCTAATTTTTCTTTAGGTGGTTTCCTATTGGAACTTTGACTTCCTTCCCTGATAACAGTGCTTGTACTTCTCTCTATCTCTTCAAATCTAGATTTTATTTGTTGGTTAATTGCCACCTTACGTTGTATTCCAGCTGACAAATCAGTGGAGCATTCTGTAATTGTTCAGTTTATCCTTGGTGTGCTGAAAGCCAGCCTACATTTGCTTGTGGTTTTCTCGCTGTTCGCTGCCTTTTCTGAAGGACTTTGAAGAACACGTGTTCCCGTAGGATCGTACTGACAACTGTTATCCGCTGTGAAAAACGTGCTTGCTGCTAATGCTAAATCCTCTTTGTCTCCTAAGAATTTTTAAGACTTTTTGGGGGACTGTCAGATGCATTTCAGAGAACATCAGGTACTTCTTGGTGTATGTGCTCGTTGATTTGTTTGGAATGCTTTGGCATACAAGTGAGGAATAACTGTTTGAAAGGAGGAGGGAGCCTGTTTTCGTAAGCTGTCATTAACATATAGCTTCTGTTGAATGATTTGAAAGATGTTTTAGCTCTGAGAATAATTGTCTGACCTTTTCCTCCTAGAAATGGTTGAATCAATGAAGAAAGTGGCTGGAATGGATGTGGAGTTGACAGTGGAAGAAAGAAACCTGCTTTCTGTTGCATATAAAAATGTGATTGGAGCCAGAAGAGCTTCCTGGAGAATAATCAGCAGCATTGAACAGAAAGAAGAAAACAAAGGTGGAGAAGATAAATTAAAAATGATTCGGGAGTATCGGCAAATGGTAAGATGCAGTTGGTGTTACAGCATAATGCCGTTTAGTTATGGTCCGGTTTCGTTAGCAGTGTCTGCAGGGTGGTGACCTGAAATAAGGTGACAGTCTTGAAAGGGTGAGGTTTGCTCCTTGTCTGGAGGATGTAAGCACTCGGAAGGGCAGTAGGCTTGGAGGCAACAGCGAGGGCTTTTCCTTCAGTGCACCTACGTATCTGCTGAACATTTGAACCCTGGTGACTCTCTGTTTCTGCCCCAAGTACTCACGTGTGAGGCTGCAGGTGCTCAGGAGCTCTTACTCTTTTCTCTCCAACCGGCCTTTTCCCAAGCGATGTTTTTTGGAAAACAACAGTGTCAAAGGAGGGGTCTAGCTGTTAAGCTGCTGCTTCCAGTAAGTTGCTTTGGATCGTACAGACTTTTAACAGTTGGTCCTGCTGCGTTTGAAAAAGTAACGGACTGAGTTGAAATACCCATGGGGGAAGGCTCTTCAGAGTTGTTCTTGGCATGGAGACAGGCAGTGCGAAGCCAAATGGCTGCTTGCTTTGACTCCTTTACCTTGTCTTTTATCACTGTGATAGTTGCATTTCACATATGTTGGGCTTATTTTGGTACTTCTTCCACGAGATGAAAACTTCACAGGAGTTGCTGTAAATTAAGTGCTTAGCAGGCCTAGTTAGTCTTGTCCGATTGAACTGGCAGGCCTGTTACTAGCTCAGAAAGCTGTGAGTGTGTTGAAATGAGCGCTGACATAGTCTGGATTTTCTGACAGCATCCAGTTCTTCAAAATGTAGGTGTCTAATTTTTAATTTTTTTTTCTTCCCCCCTAAGCTGATGCAGTTAAAGCAATCAGTTTGAGGTAAAGCACCCCATGTTCCTGGGAACGGAGGATGCTAATTTGTCGTGGTCATCTCACAGCAAAACTTGCCTGTGCAATAACCTCTAAGGCCTTGCTATTTTCTCTCACTTGAGAGGGGAAAATTGATGCACATAACTTCATGCTGAGTCTAGTCAGTCTGTGTAGCTTTACCTAAAATGGAGAACTTGGAGCAATCTTTGACTTTCATCGGTAAGGGCTAATGAACCTTCAGCTACTAGAACAGAGCTGTTGTTTCCTCCCTCCCTCCCTCCTTTCCTTAAATGATGGTTTAGCACGGAGCAGGCATGCTCCCCTACTATTTAAATCCCACACATTTTTGCAGAAACTTAATCTTCGTTAACTGAGGACAAGTGCCTCCACATGGTTCAGATCTTCCCTTCCAGAGAAACAGTGGTGTCTGTTCTGTCACCTGGCACTGATTCATATCCCGCCAGTGGAAATGATGTTGGCTGGGAAATCTTTCCTCAGAATGGCTCTGGACTACTTGCTGTTGACTCACAGGCTTTCTGGTGCCCCATGGAATTGTTAAAGTTGTGAGTGTCTAATTTTATGCTGACATGGTGATAGGATCAGGCTTTGCCAGTTACATACAGTCCCAATTACTGTTTCTTGATGGGTATCTAAAAATCTTTCTAACAGAACGTATAAAATAAGACAGCAGCTGTCTGATGATTGTTTAAAGTTGTCTTACACTGTGTGCTTCCAGGTTTTTTTGCACAGCGCTTTGAGGGCAGTTACTATCTTCTGCCAAAGATCCTTTAATGGTGGAAGGAGTTTTTCTTGGTTTTGAAACGACTGTAAAAAGGCATTGTTCTGTGTCCGTCCTTGTAAAGAGAGCAAGTAGCGCGCAGAACAGACTGGAGGGCGAGAAATCCAGTCCTTGAAGTCTCCATCAAGAGAGAGACCATGTGAAGTGCAGTGCCATGCCAATAGTGTCTTCACCTGAAGAGGAATAACTAATAGTTCTGTTAGGGGCTGCAGAGAATTGTGAGGTGGTTCTGTACTGGAGAAGAGCAGCTGTGTCTGCTGACCTGAGCTTTCCAAGGGCCTTCGGTAATGTTCCTGCAGCTGAAGGCTCGATCCTGTTTGTAGCTGCTGGGAGACTCAGGATGGGTTAGCATCTTCTCTGAGGATGGGTTTGGTAAGATGCCATGAGTGCAGTAAGGGCCTGAAGAACACACTGCAAAGGTTGGGATGGCTCTTCTACAGTAGCCCAGCACAGCTGCGCTTTTGACCTGCTCAGTGCTCCTCCGAGGATCTAAGGTCCGGTGCGAGCTCAGCAGAGTTCTGGTTATTGTGGTAATCTTGTCAACAAGCGGCCACAATTGTAACAGTTTTCAGAGTAAGTTCAGTGTCATTTGGAGACCCTTGCCAGGCCCGACAGGCTCTGAAGAACAACAGAAAAACCCCAAAACACTTGTGTGGGGACCTGGCAAGTTTAAAGCACTGGGCAGGTGGGAACTACCAATAACTCTAGAAAAACGACATCTCTCAGGTACCACTGGAACCCGTTGTGACCTTGCTCGGCTGCAGAGTGCTGCTGGAGGTGAAGTGCAAGGGGTAGTTTGTGTGAAAGTACCAATTTGATGGGTTTGTTCTACATCAGCATTTACTATATTTTAGCACGTGGCTTTTCAAAACATTTGGAGTTTGTTGGAGCTACCAGCCCATGTGATGAGGCAGAACTCGAGGGATGATGGTGGTGTCAGAGTAGGGCCAGGCTAGTTTTGTCTGAGGAGTGCGCGCGAGGCAATACTGAAACGTGATGGAAGATGCCAGATTCTGCCTTTGCCCAAACCCCTTAAGGTAAATGTAGCAAAAAAAACCCACCAACCCATAGCCATGGCGGAAGATGCCACTTACTTGCTGCCGTGGTAGACGGGCTGCTTTTCTGGGTCCTGTGGTCATGCAGATACACAAAAGTAGAGCCCCTGGCTTTCTCATCTGACGGCATCTCTGTGGAGGAGAACGCACTGAGACTTGTGCTCTTCCTACCTGAGGGGATGGAGCGGTGTATGTCCGCCCATAACGCGTCTCACTTCCTCGCAGTAAAACCAAATCCCTTCCCTAAGAGCGTAGGACAAGTCTTACCTTCCTCCGGCTGGTCTGTATTTGCGGTGAATGGAGATGTGTGTTCCCAGTGCCTGACTCCAGCCTGGCTGGACTCGGGGGCAGCTGGCTCTCCTCCTCTTGGGAAGGATGGGCTGTGAACTGGCAGCAGTGGGTGGTGGGTCTCTCGGCTGCTTTGGCGGGGATGGGAAGAAGGTAGGTTCCAGGCTTTAGCAGCTGCTTTCTGCTGTTCTAGTTTTGGGTTGCCTCTCAGTTGTGAGCTGCAGCTATTTTGGGGGCTCCATATTAAAACAGGTCAAAGAACTAGTCCGGGCTACCCTTCCCTAGTTGCTTCTGGGAAATGTCCTTCTTTAGATCACCAGGTGATTTACAGGCTTTTTTATCTGCAGAGCTGACACAGTCTGGAGCCTGGTTAAGCCAGCACTACCCCGACAAGGAAGAGAGGCACAGTGGATTTGTGGGGCTTCTGCAGGCCTCCCAGGGCGAGCAGGCTTTCCTGGCTGATCAGAGCCTGTAGTACCGCACTTTGGAGCTGGAATGGTCATAGGCCGTACACTTGCCTTTTCGGAGTGCTCGGAACAGGCTTAGGGTGGGCTCCTGGGCTGCTTTGCAGAGCTCGTTGAGCCACTCTGTCTAGAGCAGATCCTTTTAATAAAGGAGCCTTTCAGGTTTTGTTGTGGGGTTTGTTTGTTTGTTTTTTTGTTCTATTCTTAATCAACTTGATTTGTATTAAATCTTTTTAAACTAAGCTTGGTCAGGACATTTACATTGCACTGGACAGCAGCTGATCTCTGATAACTTGTGTGACTGATCCTTTAAGCAAAGCTGAGAAAGGTCTGTCTGAGATGAAATAGAAGTTTGTACATGTATGGTTATTTAACAAAAGAGGATTAGAAACTGATTTAATTCTTTGCAGTTTTGCTGAAGATCTCTCTGCAAGAGAAGTCATTGAAAAAGAGGATCAAGAGGAAAGAAGTTTGCAGGAACTGACTGCTGGCTGAAGGTTTTATAGCTTTTGTAGCCGAAGAATATATGAAGTAGATTCTTCTCAAGTGACCATATTTCAGCAAACTCCTTAAGCATTTGTCACGTAACTGTAAAGTGTAGCATCTAACCCTTCCTCTGAACGTTAGGGCATTCTGCCATTGTTTGTAAATGAAGGTTGATGGAGATTAATCTAAAGGAAATTTTGCAAATTTGTTAAGTGAATTTGTACAAATTGGGATGTGTATATATGTGCCAGTTTAACATTTATTTTAGATCTGTATTTTTTAACAGCTTTTGAGGATAGGTGCTGTTGTTACAAATAATAGGAGTTCCGTGGTGATGAAAAATACTACGTGGCAAGAAAAATGCTTAAAAAAAGAAGGAAAGAAAACTGCATGGATGGGAGGATAGGAAGGGATAGCAGACTAAGTGGGCTACTCTTGTGATCCAAGACATCCGCTTTCTAGTAGTTTCTTGTAATTAACATTGATGCCTTTGCTTGAAAATCTCTATTTTATAGCACGTAAATAGTTTAGGCCGGAGTTACCTTCAGCTATAGGTAGGAAAGCTACTGCTAAAACATGAAAGAGCAGCACTCGGTTACTACGTGCACTTAACCAACCACTCCTACTGCGAATGACGTGGGATGCTCCGAGCTGATTGTGGCAGCGTAGATATCAAAAGACAGTTCTGGTGTTTTGGGGTATGCTTAGTTTCTTTGCTTTCAGATGTGAAACTTTCTGTGGTAAAACTTGACCTCATAGATTTTGCTCTATATTCTGAATAAGAAAAATGAACGTGATGGGACCATCTTTTCAACCGTGGCTTTTAAAATCCAGTCTCTGTGTTTAAATAAGGCTTTATATATTGCTTTCTTTGGCCACAGGTTTCGCTGTTAGTGAGTTGTTGTGCTTTGCCTTTTTTGCCTGCTTCTGAAGTCTGTATTTTCTGGAGTTTGTTTTTTCTTGTCTATCTGACCTTTTTGTTCATGTGGCACATGTTTATCCTGTTCTGATACTCCATGATTTTTGTCTTAAGGCTCTTCTGTTAGAGCTTTGCCTCCCAGGTAGTCCCGGGGTTCTGAAGGTGCCTTTTAACTCAAAGGTGTCATGGAGTTCAGCTGCTTTGTGTTAATTACCTTAAAAATTTCCCATTGCCACTTTTAGGGCAGCCTTCCAGGTTCAGAAATGTAAGGAATTAGGAGTTGTGCAAGCCTTGCCGTAAGGAATTGTATCCTGAGACAAACTTAATGCAACCATCGAGCAAGATGTCTTCTGGGGAATTCGTAATTTCGTTACTCAGTGATGCGTTTCGTCACACACCGGTCCTTTCCTGGTTTGTGTGCCGGCTAATCATGCAGCACTGTTGTGCTTTAACCTGTGTAGCAGCCAGATTTCTCTTCTTCTGTTCTTCTCCTCTGTGGATTTTTATGATGTTGCCTATTTGATACTTGGATGTTTTTGAAACAGCTCTTAGTCCTATGTGCTAAACTTGCCTCCTCTTTTCATTTTGGGTTTTTCTTTTAATAGGTTGAGACTGAACTGAAGTTAATCTGTTGTGACATTCTGGATGTACTGGACAAACACCTCATTCCAGCGGCTAACACTGGCGAGTCCAAGGTTTTCTATTACAAAATGTAAGTACCTTTGCGTGAGGGAACAGCCTCGTACTGTATCTGAACCGGGGACAGAAATAAAGTAGTTGAATACATAAATGGGTTCTGCCCACTCAGCCACAATAACTTCTAGAAGGAGGGCACTTCAGTCACGCCTGACCAGTGTGCCTTTTTCGGCTGCCTCTGGGGTGTTGGTGTCGTGAGCGTGTGGTTTTGGATAGATGTTGTTGTTTGGAATAAGGTCGTGAGAATTTAATCTCAGCTGTTGTGCAGCTCTCAGATGTAAGAAGCAACTGTTTCCTTCAGCTGAGCTATTAATGCAGAAATCGCATCCCTGCTTCAGTGTTCTCTTGTGTGAGCTGTGGGCTCTTCATAGAGAGCAGAAAATGAGGTGGACTGATAACTGTCGTGTCGTGTCAGTTTGAAATCGCATTAGCACTGAAACTTGGCCTTGGAGGGTGTTGCTGTAGTCACTAGCTTGATGCATCTTGTGTACTTTCTGAAAAAGTTTAAATCTTGAAATTACCAGAGAATGTTTTCCCCTGTAGTTGAATTACCTCTGTCCTTAAGACAAAGCCTTGGCTAATTTAGATGAGATGCATTGGGTAAGGTAATACTATGATTTTACGTACTGATGCAAGAAAATAAGGGAACTCCAAACTGTATTTTTCCTGCCTGATGGTTTGAAATTCACTCAAGTACTGATGCACCGTTGTCTGGAGAGTAATTCAGCAGCAGTGTCCTTTGTGTCTCTGTGTGTGTGTGTGTGTGTACGTATATAAATGTGAGTTTCAGAACTAAGCTATTAATTTAGTGGCTGGTGGGGGAAATAGGACTCCTAACTTCTCACCGGTTCTGTTTCCAGGAAGGGGGACTACCATAGGTATCTGGCTGAGTTTGCCACAGGAAATGACAGGAAGGAGGCTGCAGAGAACAGCTTGGTGGCTTACAAAGCTGCTAGTGATATTGCAATGACAGAACTCCCGCCAACACATCCCATCCGCTTAGGACTTGCGCTCAACTTCTCTGTATTCTACTATGAAATTCTTAATTCTCCTGATCGTGCCTGCAGGTAGGTAGTGACTGAGAAGATGGGGACGTCTTATGTAAATGCCAAACAAGCCAGAAGTGGCCACTACTTGCAAAACTGCTTTTCCTCAGTGGGAATACTGGGCTGACTTTCTTCCTCCTGTTAGCTGATCACTTGCTCTGTCTGAGGTCACTTGACTGGAAAGGTTTTCAACTTTGCCGTATTTGTCAGCGCCCAGACGCATTTGTTTACCTGGGAGTAGATCGTGTGTGAGAAGCAGAGTAGTGATCACCTTGGATTGATCACCTCATGGCAGTTTAACAGTTTGCTGTGCTAACTCTGTGCGTGTCCTTATCCTGCCAAAAGTGAGAGGTGATTTAAATTGCCTCTTGCAGTTGACTGTTACACAAGGTAAGAGGGGTCCCGTTGCTCATTTCTGTGAATGGTGAGCTCCTCTGTCTGTCGGAGTTTGGCTCATATAAGCGTAAAAGTGATGATTGAAACAAATAATGCTCGTCTTCTATTCCTGTTATTGCAGGTTGTGTAACATACTTCCTTTTAATCTTCTAGCAGACCTTGCTCAGGTCTACTGCAAGATGTAGAAAGGTGTAATAGAACCAATATTCTTGAGTAAAAAAACTCCTAAGTACACAAAGTGACTGGGTTTGAAGATGGGAGACAGCTGGATGAACACTGTTAAATAATAAAAAAATTTGTTACAGCGGCTGTGGATGTCACGTAGCCAGACTAGGTGTCCTGAGGCACAGGTTTCATTTGTGTCCTCCTAGATATTGCTTAGCAATCCATATTAAATCTGATTATTCTGTGCTTACAGGTTGGCAAAAGCAGCTTTCGATGATGCTATTGCAGAACTGGATACACTGAGTGAAGAAAGCTATAAGGACTCTACACTTATCATGCAGTTGTTACGTGATAATCTGACACTATGGACTTCAGACATGCAGGGTGACGGTAAGTGAGCTCTTCTGAAATGCTGCCCTCGCCTGACCTCTGCCCAGAGTGGAAATGCAGATTGTTTTTCTGTATTTCTTAATAGTTAATCCTCCTGAACTTCTGCCCTTTCTTAACAGTAGCTACGTTGATAGGGATGCTGCTGGCTTCTTCTGAGAAGCTTTTTCAGCTCTCACTGAAAGGAAGGAGGTGTGCAGTTAGTAATGTTTTATGTTTTAGGGTTTTTAGGGTTTTTTCCTCTCCTCCACCTGACTGTTCAGGCATCTGTGATTATTTTAAAAGCAGTGACTTCATTTAATTCCACTTTTTGAATGGTTTGTCCTGTTCGTCAGTGGTCGTCATTCCAACCAGATCTGACTTCCCGGCGCAGGAAGAAGTATGACAAATAATGTAGTTCCCCTTGTTCTTTTCAGGTCACTCAATATTTCTGTTTGCATTCTAGTGAGAGGTGTGCTGCCCTCATACCAGCCACTTAGAGCACTGTGCATCTCTTCCACTGTTCTTAGGAAGGATTGGGTATGAAGAGAAGAGGAAAAGGGATTTTGTAAAATACTTTGTTACTAGGGAGGAAGAGGAGAAAAGCTTGAGGAAACGTAACTTGATGTTTGAGGTGTTTGAAGCAAATACCAAATATATCTTCTGGCAGTACGAGAGGGTGGGACATTAATTGCTTCTGTTTACTGACATCTGCTAACTAAAAATTTTAAGTGTGGGGTGGGTTGTTTTGACACACTGAATAGACTTTTTCCTCTTACACTTACACTAGGGTGCTAAGTATAAATTTTCTCTTCTTCATTTTTTGTATGTCTTCTGTTTCAGTGGTTATTGGTGCAAATTATATACATTCTGTATATAGAAAGATTAAACTTGTGTTTTCGTCTGCAAAAATTATGTCCTGGAGAGACGGGTGGAAAGAACTGACTTTTCATTTTTAACTTGGAGGTGCAAAAAGTCAGTCGTGTTTAAAGTATGTTGGGTACTTAGAAATGCACAGAGGTTTGAAACAACTTTGCTGCTTAATTTCACATAAATAAATATCCTAAAAAACCCCTCCCTAAGATGTTACCTGAGGCGTGGTAAAAGCTGTGGAGCGTTGCTTTTTTGTAGCATCTATTGGAAAGCAGTTGCAGAATCTCTGACTTTTTGCTGACTCGCTGGTTCTGTGTAGGATCGCTGGGTTTATTTCCGAGGAGTATTGTTACCTGATGACTTTGAGCTCTTTGCACAGATCATGAGCGCTGGTTGTTGCAGGTCCCGTTTGACACCCGTGTCTCTGGGCTTTTGCCAGCACTGTGTGGGAGCTCGGCCCCTGGGGTACCCCACAGCCAGGGCTTCAGCCTCTCGCAGGGGAGCGCCCCCTGCTCTCAGAGGTGAAAGATGAGGTCATGGTCCACCCTGGATGGGTTTGTACAGACTCTGCTCTAAACGCTGCAGGTGGTGTTAGGTGCCTTCCTTGCCACGCTTAGACAGCAGAAAAAGAAATTTGTTCCCATTTCTCACAGTTAAGACACGACCTTCTATTTTACCGTTGGTTTGGGGTTTTTGGTGCTTTTTTTTGAATGGAGCCAAGTATGTTGGGGCGCTGTGGGAGCACTGAGGCAAAGCAGCGAGGCTGGATTGCTGCTGGGAGACAGGAGCCTTGGAGTATCTTTGAAAAGCTGACTTGGTTTGCACGTGAGCTCACTTCACGTGGCTCCTGTGTCTCGTACATCGTAGAAGTTTCACGAGATTATTCACAGAGGCTCTTCGTATTTCTTTTTGCATAGTCTAGATTCAGATTTCTTGATCTGTAATTGGCTACATAGCGCAAAAAAAATTCTTTTTGTTCTTCCTGAAGTGTTTCAGATTGTCCTGTTTATGGTGCATGCCAGAAAGATAAGGATTGCAAAATTTAAAATGCTGCAGAACTACTTAAAATCATTGTGTAGTTCTTCAAGTCCACAAAATACACCGTGTTTTTATGCATAATATTTAGACATAGTTACTAAGTTAAGTTTTCTCATTTCTTCATGCCATGCTAATACTCTGGCAGAGTGCATTTACAACTGTTGCTCCATGTTTCCAAAATGAATAGAGCCTTTGAAGATTGGTAAAAAGTTAATAGCGGCGCGGAGAAAGAGCATCACAGCTACCAGTTTCCTGGCGGAGGGGGGAGTCTTGAAAAGAACTTGTATTGTGTAACTCGTATTGTACTTGTATTGCAGTTTCACCGTGTCAAGTGTAGGGAGTGACTCTCAACTCAGGTGTTAGTCAGCTTTCCATCTCATTTACTGTGTCTTTTAACTTTTTAGTTTATTTTCACACTCGTAATGCCATCTTCATATGATTCCTGTTTTCCCCTTCTTTCCTGCTGTATAGATTCCTAAAGGAAAGTCCAACTGTTCATTTCCTAAAAAACTCTACTTTGTAAGTCTTCATCATGGCATAATGAAGTTTTCATCTTCAGTTTCTTCCCATCACTAATCG